GAGTCAGTTGACAACTATGTCTCTCTATTTTTCTTAATTCTTTGAAATGAATCTATTTGCATGTGATACTAAGAGAATATTTTTATTTCCTTTTAACTTCCAATTTATTCACCTGTCGAAAGATACTAGAAATAGGTATCACCATTACTAGACAGTTAAATTAATTACTATATCATATATTTAGCTTCTCTCTCTTTATATGACAAAGAGTAAATTCTAACTGCTCACGCTGAGTGACTTTGTTTTGTTTTGATATTTTTATTGTGTCTTTGTCTGAGCATAGAATTCATTCAAGTTCAATGACAGAAGAGTTTTAAAACTTCATATTATTACATATAACTATGCACATGGTAGGCAACATTATTTAAATGAAACCATCAGGTAGAATATTAGATATAAATATTTCTAATTTAAATATGAAACATCAGTGAATCTGAAATTATTTGGCATTTTAAAGGTTGATTTCATTGTTTTAATTCTATAATGCGCTTAAGAGAAAAATTATTAGTTTATGAAAATATATTGATATTCAAGTAGAAATATTTAGTTCTAGCAAATAAAAATACACAGAGTATATACACATATAAACAGGTTAATTCAGTTGATGAAAATATAATGAAATATAGTTTATAGAAATACATATACATTTATGCATTATTTATGACAGTAACGGATTCCAAGAAATGTATAATTACTCAATGTTGTCAATCTGCAAACATTATAAATCACCTGAGACAGCTATTATGTCACTGGATAATATAATCTTTTTTATTAGACAGATAATCTTATGGACCCACTGTGGAATATGTGATTCATGTTGACCATAATGCCTTTATGTGACACATGACTACACAGGTACCCAATCTCAAACATTAAATGGATTTGAATTCCATTTTTGTAGATTTTAGAAAGCTAAAAATTTAGATTTCCCTGATCTCAGTGTCATGGAGTTTGAAAACAAAGTGAATATATCTTGGAGCACAGATAAGGAACATTCCTGCATTTTCTTGATGCAAGACAAGGAATGAAGAAAATAATTCCACTGGAAATAAACTAGATGAATTAAATTTAAAGTTTTGTTTTCCCTTAGGTTCATTTATCATTTTAGTTTGCTTTACAAGCTTACTTTTTCTACCCTCTTCATTTTTTTGTGCCATGAAATTATTAAAATATTTTTTTCTTTCCTCATCATATAGTTTGTCTTGGGCTTTTGTCACTTACAACAAATATTCCCGTTAAAGCACAAACAATTATGATTAAAGGGTTACATGATGAGGGGTCATTTAACATTTCAATTTCTAACATGGTGATAGTTGAACATTATTTAATATCCTGGCCGGGAGATTTATTTTCATCAGGGGGGAAAAAAGAATAACTTATTTATAAATAACATAATCACCAACCAAGCATGATGGCACACACTTATAATCTCAGCATTTCAGAAGCTGAGGCAGTAAGATCACAGTTCACAGATAGCCTGCAACACGGTGAAACTAGAGCAGGTCAAAGAACAAAAGAAGCAGCACAGGGAGCCTACGAGTGTGAAAAGCTGCGTTTCGGTTAACTGAACAGGAAATAACGTATGCAGAACGAACCTTCAAAATGCTTGCCGGGGTCTTCAAGGAAATGACAAGAGCTGCCAGTGCAGAGGTACACCATGCAATCACTCCTCGATGTAACTGTTGTAAGACATGCAGTTAGATTGTGGGTTAAAGGCAGGGCAGGAGATTGCATGTTTCCATGTGTTAAGATCAGAGCTTAAAGTTGGGATGTGGTGTTATAAAGTTAACCCATTCACTGTTAAAATTTCCAGTCTGACCCACAACTCATGAAGTAGTCCCGTTAGTGGAAATTCGATGATGATTCTGAAGGAAATTTAGTATGATGGATGTGGGGCTTGAGTCCAAGTGTATGATTCCCTGTGCATGTGGCTTCTTTTTTATGGAAACTGTGCGAACAGTGGGCTCCATCCTCCTTTCTCATTGTTTCAATTTCCTTCTCTGCAGACTTTCTGTCACCTGCGGAGAATCTCATTGCTGGGATACTGGTAATCATCTGCTTTGCTTTAAGGACCA